TCACTCGCACAGGAACTGAGCATTTGTTAGATTTAGAGAATACTGGAGAGGGGTGTGGTGCAGGCTCAAGGAGGGATGCTGTGAGAATGATCTTAGCCCACATGGAACTGCCCACCACACCTGCAACCAAAGGGGGAGGAGCACAGAGCAGATGTGGCGGGACCAGCAGCACCCACTTCAGCCCACCCCTCACATACTGTGCAGATCCACTTATGCCCACCTTAGGTTCACTCTGAACTTCTGAGGGAGAGGCCAGTTGTAATCTCTAGAAACACAACACAGGAGGTTAAATGGAACTAGTTGGGCCCCATTGTTAATCCTGGTCACAGACTCGGATACTATTTTGAATTCTCTCCTTTATCATTCTTCCTAGAATTTCCTCATCCCTTGCCAGTACTTCAGCTCTACTAAGACGCTTGCCTGGTGCAGTGATTCATGCCTTCATTTTTGAGGGTGTGGAGCCTTGGCTGTCATGTCCTTACCAGGCTGTGGAGCTTGGAAATACTGGATCACCTCTGTGTCCCCTTTATCCACTATCCAGCAATAACCTGAGCCTTCTGGGTGACAGCGATGACCAATATTATACTGTCGGTCTTTGTTGCTGTTCCACCAGAGGGAAAATCCTAGTGTGTAAGGGGCAGACACTGACAGATTCCTTAGGCCCTTCCATATTTCCAGGCACCTGTGTCCCTTTTGCATAGGAAAGGAAAAAATTAAGAATGTGGAAAAAAAAAAAGCCCACCACATGGTAGAAAATCTTTGTCAGCTTCTCCTGATAGGGGGCTAATGGATAACAGCATGATTCTTTATTTAGAAGGCCCCAAAAACTCCACCAGAAAGTTTCCAGAACTCATAAATGAATTCAGTAAAGCAGAAGGATATAAAATTAATACCCATAAATCAGTTGCATTCCTATATAGCAATGATGAATCACTTGAAAGAGAAATTAGGAAAACTATCCCATTCACAACAGCCTCAAAAAAAAAAGATACATGGGTGCCGCAGTCTGGCTGGGCACAAATAACGAGCCACTGAAGCAGGAACAAACTTTATTTTTGAACTGCAAGAAAACACTTCACACACGCTCCCGGGGAATTCTCCCGAACGCCACAAGGCTCGTCCAGGAACCCCCAGCCGGAAATATCTCTCCTGGAAATCCCTCCTCCTGCACTTCCCCAACCAATGGGAACTCTCGGGGAATCCCCAGGAATCCCCAGGAGAACTCCAAAGTATCTCGAGAACTCAAAAGTAGCAGCCGAGGGGGATAGTAATGCCTCTCCTGTCAACCAATACTGTTGGCAAAATGCCAGGGGCCATACAGACTCGGCCATGGCTCTCAGCACATGGGAATCAATCTAACAAAAGAGGTGAAAGACCTCTACAATGAAAACCACAGAACACTAAAGAAAGAAATTGAAGAAGACCTTAGAAGATGGAAAGATCTTCCATGTTCTTGTATAGGCAGAATTAACATTGTCAAAATGGCCATACTACCAAAAGTGCTATACAGATTTAATAAAATACCAATGAAAATCCCAATGATATTCTTCAGATTAAATAGAAAAAAAAAGTTGTGAAATTTATTTGGAAAAATAAAAAGCCCAGAATATGTAAAGTTATACTTCGTAGGAAAAGTGAAGCAGGAGGCAACACAATACGAGATCTTAAATCATACTACAGAGCTGTAATAACAAAAACAGCATCGTATTGGCACAAAAACAGACATGAAGACCAATGATACAGAATAGAAGACACATGAATACAGTAATCTCATATTAGACAAAGGCACCATAAACATACATTGTAGAAAAGAGAGCCTCTTCAACAAATGGTGCTGGGAAAACTTTAAAGCCATATTTACTAAAAGGAAATTAAACCCATATCTTTCATCCTGCACAAAACTCAACTCAAAGTGGATCAAGGACCTATGCATTAGAACAGAGACCTTGCACCTAGAAAGAAAAAATCTGCAAAAATCTCCACCATGTCAGCTTATGAACTGAATTCCTCAACAAGACATCTCAAGTGCAAGAAGTAAAATCAAATATCCATAAATGGGTTGGCATCAAAGTAAAAAGCTTATTCATAGCTATGAAGAGAGAGCCTTCAGAATGGGGGAAAATCTTTGTCACCTGCATCTCATATAGCTCATTAATTTCCAGGATATATTAACAACTCAAAAAGCTTGACACCCAAAAAACAAATAATTCAATCAATAAATGGGTAAGAAACTGAAGAGACATTTCACAGATGAAGAAATATAATCCATCAACAAACATATGAAAAAATGTTCAACATCACTAGCAGTTAGAGAAATGCAAACTAAAACTAGACTGAAATTTCATCTCACTCCATTGAGAATGGCAATCATCAAGAATTCAAGTAATAATAAATGTTGGTGAGGATGTGGGGAAAAAGGTTCACTTACACATTGCAGGTGGGACTGAAAATTGGAGCAACCACCCTGGAAATCAGTATGGATATTCCTCAGAAAACTTGGGATGGAACCAATTATCGCACTCCTCAACATATACCCAAAAGACTTAAAATTGTTACACTATAATTATATAGCCACATCAAGATTTATAGCAGCACAATTTATAATACCTAAGCTATGGAACCAAACGTGATGACTTTTAACAGATGAATGGATAAAGGAAATGTGGTACATATACACAATGGAATATTACTTAGCCATAAAAAATAAAGCTATGGCATTTTTCATAACCTGCAAGAATTGAGGCATGGCTTTGGGGTATATATTTGTATATGGCAAGCGGACACCTTGCTGTCTGCTTCCTGATCATGGTGTGATCTCTGCCACACTCTCCCGCCATGATGTTCTGGTGAACCTCAAGCCTGGAGGAATGGAGCGAGCTTCTATGGACTAAGACCTCTGAAACCATGAGCCCCTGAATAAACCTTTTCTCCTCTACAATTATGCTGGTCAGGTCCTTTAGTCATGACAGCAGAAAATCTGACTATAACAAGTTTAAAGATAAAAATATAGGGCTGGGGATGTGGCTCAAGTGGTAGCGCACTCGCCTGGAAGGCGCTGGGGGGGGGGGCTGGGTTCGATCCTCAGCACCTCATAAAAATAAAATAAAGATGTTGTATCCACCAAAAGCTGGAAAATAAATATTTTTTAAAAATTCTCTCTCTCTCTCTCAAAAAAAAGATAAAAATATAAATCTATGCCCCCAGAGTGATGTAGCAATATGATGTAGCAAGACACCCATAGACTGTCTATGTGGTATTCCAAGGCAACCACAGTCACATGGGGCTGTTCTCCAGTGATCCACCAGCTGTCTTAATTCCTGCAAGTATTTGCTTTTACAAAGGGAGCTAGCTGTGATGTGCACCCCTGAATTTGATCTCAGAACAATAAAAGAACATTAGTTGGAAAGTGGTAAGATCTGAAGAGAGTGTGCTGTTTGATCAACAGTAATGTCCCAGTGTTAATTTCTTGGCTTGGAACAATGTAGCTTGGTACATAAAACGTTAACACTCTGGGAATCTGGGTAAAGTGAACATGGGAACTTCCACCATATCCATGCAGTTTTTCTATAAATCTGAAGTTATTTAAGGGTTAAAAGTTTATTAAGCAGTGGGAGGGAGACTTAAGTAACTGCACACTAGGACTCCCACCTGAACTCCAGTGATGTTCTGATAACACCAGCAGAGAGGAATACACAGTGAAATCTCAAAAAGAAGCCTAGGAAGAAGTAGCAACCGGGAGAGGGGCATGTGGGGCTCCCACGTGCTGGTTGCGTTCTACTTCTTGACCTGCTCTGGGGGTGGCACATGTGTCTTCATTGTATGGTAGTTGACTGAACTCTATTTTTTGTTTAATTATCCTTCAATATAAGACAGGTTTTAACATACTTCCATTTTACTGGTAAACATTCCCCTGTTACTGATGAAGATTCAAATGAAGAGAGTATATGGAAACAGATGGGGTCTAGAGGTAGGTGGGGGATCCTGTGCAGGGACAGATGTGACAGTTAATAAAGCATAAGTGTAACATTTTCAGAGCTGAGAAGGACCTTGGAAATGGCCAAACCCAGCCCTGGTGAGTTCTTCCTGGGGACAACTCTGTTGGTACTGCTGCAGGGGACAGGCAGGGCCAGACATCTGGGTCTTAGCAAAGCTCTTCAGGATGTAACCAGATTATATACCACGGAGACATCCAGGGAAGTGAAGTGACTTCAGAGCAGAATGTCCCAGTAATGCCATAAAAGCCACATTCCCAGACCCCTGGCCACTTGCGGACTCCTGAGCTCAGTAAGTACCACCAAACTTAATTCACTCATCGAAGACATGATTTTCTATCAGTATGGATTTTTTTTACCTTAGAAATAGCACTGACTTTTCAACATATTTTATATTTCATGCTTCTAAGACTGCATTCATGAATGGTATTTATGACACAATAGCAGATCATAGACTTATACTCATAGACTATTAAAACTACTAACCTACCTGTTCATTTTGAATATGAGGAAACTGGTACCAGAGGTATTAGTAGCTTGCCACTTGTTTCATTTCTTCTTTTTTCCTTTTTTTGTACTGGGGATTGAACCCAGGGGCACTTAACCACTGAACTACATCCCCAGCCCTTTTTGTTTTTATTTTTTGAGACAGGTCTCATTAAGTTGCTTAGGGCCTCTCTAAGTTGCGGAGAGTAGCTTTGAACTTGTGATCCTACTGCCTCAGCCTCCTGGGCCACTGGGATTACAGACATGTGCAACTACATTTGGCTTCAGTTCTCCTTTTTTAGGTCAATTAAGTGGACTGGATTGCCTTTCTACGGTTATTATCTCACCAGATAAACTAGTATATAAAGCATAATGTCAGTATTTTGGGGCTTGAGCTCATATGTATGATTTTTGTGAATATATTCTATGGAATATAATTGTGACTGAATGACATTGTGAAGGCAACTGAACGCAAGATCACACACACATACATACACACAAACACAAAAAAACAATACTTCATTGGATGCTTAAGTCAAGGTGCTGCTTTTAATGTGAGAGCAATTTATAGAAAATTAAGGGGGATTTAAAAATGATTTTTAAGAAATATCAATTTTAGGTAGGTAATTATGAGGAATAAAATTATCATACAAGCTAAACCCAGAAGATTCTTCCACAAGCCCAAAGGTGAGAGATCAATGCCAAGCATTGTCAAGTATTCTTCTCCTGTACATCTGAAATTCAACACACAAAAAGTTAACTATATTCCCACCAAACATCAAATTATATTGACTGTATTCACTACTACTTTGTTAGAGAAACCTATAGGTTAATTAAATTATGAGGAGTTATTCTTTCACATATAATAGCTAACAGTTACTGTGTGCTTACAATTTGGCTGCATACTATGCTGAGCAACTTGTACCCAAGAGCTTACTTAAATCCTACATAATCCAACAGTGTATACATATTATTCACATTTAAAAGAGGGGTGAAATTAGGCTTAACTAACTTGGCCAATTTTACAGATTCCCACTGGGAATCAAATTTCTGGCTTCTCAAACACACTCATTTCCAAATCCATAATACTACTCTCTTCAAAGGAAATATTGATCATGACTTTTTACTTTCTCTCAATGGGGAACCCTCAGCTTTACCTGATGATACCTATGCCTCTTACCGAGCTAAATAAAAATTCTTGAACTTCTGCTCACCCACAAGACAGCCATGCAAAAAATATAGGTTAAGAATTCAAAAACTAGGACCAGAGGGGAGCAAATGACTTCTACAAGAGCCATGTCTGGCAGCTCTGGCACCAACAGTGTAATGAACATCACAGATACTCAGCAACGGGACATCACCAGCAGGCCAGACATTATGACATTGATGACATTATGCAAAAATGGAACTTCTTTCTCAATTGTCGAAATGTGTTCTTTCTTTAAGAGAGTACACATCTTTGATAGGGGGTATTCCAGCTTACATGCACAAAAACTCACAGGCACACAAGTGTACACAAGTGTACAGCCTGTGATTTCATGATGTCTCCTAAGTGCAGGAGCTGAGGAAAGGACCAGCCTCTTTGGGCTAATGTTCACTTCATTTATGCTCCTATGCCCCACTTAGCTCTTCCTGCTGTGCACATGCTGGGGTCTCAGGCTCCATATAACCCATTCAGCTCAGAGAATCTGAACCTTTGTTAAACAAGGAACAGCCCATTTCAAACTCAAATGTTCTGAGGAAATGAGAATTCACCCCTCAATCAAACATCAAAACAATCTTTCAAAAGTTCCAAAGTGAACATTTCTTCATATTAAATACAATTTTGACTGTAGCAGAATACAAGTACAACATGTGCACATGTATTAGTGCACCATGATTCACTTTATGGGTGAGAAAACAGGGTCAGAAAGGTTTGTTGACCCTGAAAGGTCTCATACCAGCTTTAAGCCCAGGGGACTTTATTCTTCTTGTGGCAGTGTTAAGAAAGCTGATTATGACATTGAAGGGAAACTTACATCACATAGCTGGCACAGCCACGGCTTTCTGTTGGACTAAGTCCTGGACAGAAGTTTCGTCCCAAAAATTCATTATGCAGCAAAGCCTATAGCACAAGGAGAACAAGGAAAGGTACACAGTTCCAAATTTCAAAATGTTTCCAAAAGCAAGGTGCAGAGATGCACACCTGGAATCTCAGATAGTGGAAAGGCTCATGCAGGAGGATGACAAGTTCAAGGCCAAACTGGGCAACTCAAGTAGTCAAACTGTGTTTCACAATAAAAAATTTAAAAATACTGAGAAAGTAACTCAGTGGTAAAGTGCTTGCCTAGCATATGTGAGGTGTGAGTTCAATTCCTACTACTAAAAACTAAACCCAGTGGCCAAAGAATTATCACATTTATGTCCTCAAGTTTACTCTTTATTATTGCTTCTAAAAACAACACCATTTCACTATGAAAACTTTGTCACAGCAAGGCAACTGAAGAATTTTCCGTGGCAATTAAGAAGGTTAACATTAGAATAAAGGGAAACCTCTGGTTATATTATGCCATACTTCATTCCTTCTTTTCTTCCAATTGTATAACCTCATAAACATTATAATTAGAATAATACAATGATGCTCAATGAACATTTTTCAAATATGGAAATGATCTTTTCTTGTTTGTTTTTATCAAGACCAGGTTACACTGTGTAATGTCACAGATAACTTTTTGAAGCCGACTAACTTGCTAAAACCAGTATGGCTCTGAGTATTCTATGGTCTTTATTTCTCTTCTAATTTCCCTTATAGTACAAGCTATGTTCCAGTCTCCCATCCTTCATTTTTTTCCTTATTGAACTAAAACATAAATGTTTTTCATTAATGAGTCAAACTTTCTTCTTCAACCTTTCTCCTCAGCCTTCATCTTCCTCCAACAATTGTGTAACTGGGGTAACCCCAGAAAAACCCCTGACCTTGTGTTAACCAAGGCTAAGAGGAAATACTCATGCATTGCTCCTGAAACACAGTTCTGGGATGGAAGAGATTCACAGCTCATGGCTGAGTAAATGAAATGATTAGGCTTTATTTTGGTTGTTCCCAGTTTTCCCAAGCTATTCCCCACAATAACAGATGAAGACAACTTACCATATAACCATAGTAAGGAATACTGAAGTACTGGAGCCAGGACAACCAAGGCTTTACCATTTCAAAATTCAGAGTTATACCCAAGAAAATCTACAAGAAGCAAAACCCAAGAGTCAGGACGGGTTCAGTGTTTTCAGGAGGAATGCTTGACAAGACCTTTTCCAAGAACCCTACAACCTTCTAAACATTCTGCTAGGATCAACTCTTCGTTGAAATTTCTTCCACTTACTTCTAAACACTTATCCTAATCCTTTGTGTGTACCTCTGCATAACTACAGCAGTTTATTATATTAAAGGAAGAATAATATAACTACAATACATATTCTGTATTTCACTTATTTGAAGGATCCTTAATTATCAAGAGCACATTCTCAACTTTCTCTATAACTGCATATAATGGAAGATGAGGAAGTACATTCAATGCCTTAGTATCCATCAGGGATTGGTTACAGAACCACTTCACCCCCACTCACAGCATCAAAAATGTACAGATGGTCATGTCACATGACACTCATATGTAATGCTGTACATTCTTCATGATTTAAATATACATATCCTGTACATTTTAAATCATTTTAATATATATTTTGATACCTGATACAACATGAAACTTGGAAAATATATTATGACGAGAAAGGAAATATATATATACATATATATATATATATAAATATATACACACACAGTATAGGCAATATTTTATTTGTTCGAATTAGTTGTACATGACAGTAGAAAGCATTTTGACACATCATACATAAATGCATTATAACTTCTCATTCTTCTGGTTGTACATGATGTAGAATCACACCTGTTGTGTAGTCATATATGCACATAGGGTAAAATAGCTGATTCATTCTACTGTTTTTTCTACTCCCAAATCCCTCCCCTTCCGTCACTCTCCTCTCCCTAATCCAAAGTAACTCTATTTTTCCCTAGCCCCTCACCCCTTTTGTGAATTAGCATCCACATATCAGATAAAACATGTGGTCTTTGGTTTTGGGAAATTGGCTTCTTTCACTTAGCATGATGTTCTCTAGCTCCAGCTCCATCCATTTATAGGCAAATGTTATAATTTAATTCTTCTTTAAGATATACTCAATAGTGTATATATATCACATTTTCTTTATCTATTCATCTGTTGAAGGGCATCTGTGTTAGTTCTATAGTTTAGATATTGTGGTTGAGCTTCTATGAACGTTGGTGTGGCTGTGTCACTATAGTAGTCCTTTGGGTATAAACCAAGGAGTGGGATAACTGGATCAAATGGTGGTTCTATTCCAGGCACAATTTTTGTTTTGAAAGTTTCTATTCAAGGTTGGTTGAATCTCTCAATAAAAATTTGTGGGCAAGAAGGGCCAACTGTACTGACTAATTGAATTATACCTCCACTATCTGTTCCCCTAATGAACCTGGCAATCTAGAAAAATGTACCAGAATAACCCTGCACATCACACAGTCCTCTCTACTTCCATGTATTCAGATTGTTATTTACAAAATTTTGCACTCTCTATGACTTTAGGAGTAATTTGGAGTTCTGAATGCAGGTTTAAAGTAACTCAAAGCCTAGAACAGATAAAGAAGCATAAGGTCATCAATCTATCAGAAAATGTGGTTGATCCCATTAAAGCTACTAGAAAACAGTATCTCGGTGGAGATGCCAGGAAGGACTTGGGAAACACACAAAAGACAGTTATGAGATTATATAACACTTGTCCTAATGGGTGTGAGGTGCACTGGGATATGCAGAACAAGGACAAGGTTGTGGTGTATCTGCATATACTTAGACTTGACCTAACCAAGTGCTAAGCATATAACACAACATCACTCAATGAAATGTGGTTTTATGACTGGTTTTAAAGTTCTATATAGAAATCTTTGCCTAATAATCTATAAAACATCAAATAAGTCAAGCAAAACAAACCATCTTTATTTATTTAAGGACATTTTATTTACTAGATGACAGCATGGACACTATTAACAACACTTACTGCTTTCCCAATGATACACATTGGTAGTTGCCAGATTCAGAAATGGAAGAATCATTCTTTAGAAAGAGCTTATGCTAATTATCTACCATTGAGTGACATATCCTCCAATTGTAGCAGATAGGATGTGTGTTTTAACAGTCTAAGATCTACAGTTCAGTTGACATCATAGGGGGAAAATGTGGTAACTAGTTCCATACATTTGTGATTCATCAATGTGAGTGCAAATTTAGGGGCATGTAAGATTAGAACCCAGTAACCATTAAAAACAAAAGATGAGCACAAGTATATTAATACAAGAGATCCTCAGGAAACCAGAAAGTATGTGATCTTGTACTGCAGATGTGAGAATTTTCCACTGTTGTCAAACATTCCTTTTGAAACTACAAGAAGCACTCAACTTAGCCTTCCCAGGCTGCACACTGTAACAATTCTCACAGAGCTTCACTTCGACTTGGGAGAGTAGTGAATCCAACCAAAATACACGTGCTAGTGAAACATCTACAAATTCTCTAACACTCACATGAAAGTCAGAAACAGGACTTTTGTTTTTATGAGGGAATCGCCCAATCACAACTCTCTTTTCCAGTTTATCAATAGTTCATAATATGTTACCAAGAAGTATTTTTAAAAGCTCTTTAGTGAAGATATGGTTAAAAGTTTTAGTAACTTCACTAGAATATTAGTAGGAAAGCTGGTACATTCTCTAAACAGTATCTCATTCTATGGCATCGTGAGAGTATCCAAGACTCATGTACAGAATCCTCAAAGCAGGTTTTATAGAAAAGGTGAAGGAACAGGAAGGAACAAAGGGAAAAATTCCCCTCTCAAATCAGTACAGTTCACACTCACCGTCATAACCGCAAGGTAGATGTTCACCAGAAATGTCTTTACATCCATTGCCTTCTCACCTGCTCCTAGGACCAGCGCCATGGAGCTGGTAGCATAAGCCACCAGCAAAACAATAAAGATCGTCATGAAGAAATCCCCTGTCTCTGATTTCAGCCCTTAGAAGTAAAAGAAAGGGTCAGACCAGCTGCCTAAGTCACCTTGTATTTGAGATTGTTTTTTTACCCAAATAACACTATAATATTTTGGCTAACAAAGATCAGAATGAAATGTCAACCAAATAAGGTCACAATTTCATTGTTTCCCTCCATGTAACCATGTAGAATTATCACACAGTTTTCTCTTTTACATTTACTGCAAAAGAACCTTTCCACTTAACAACTATGTTCCTTTATGTGTAATTATGAATGATTTCTGAGTTGCTGAGATGGAGAGATACAGGCAACAAAAATGGTCAAAAATTCTACTATGTAAGGAAACTTCTCAAAGCATATTCATGTTCCCAGATATATCCAAATGTTCATTGTTTGCTATAACTGCATTAGTGAAGAAATTGGGATCGGGTTTCGCAATCTCACAGTGGTTTTAATATGTAGGGGGAGGGAGGTGTCACCATAACCTAAGACACTCCAGACAAACCACCACATGGCATGGTCATAGGGAATGGGGCTAAGTTGTGTTTCTTAATATGATCTGGATCATACAGTCTGAAGATTTTTGAACAGCTGCAAGAACAAAAATCAGGAGTCTGGGGATCTAGATTCTGTGACTAATTCTTTATGATATACCTCTTATTTGTAAAACAAAAAGATTCAAGCTCTATTAGTGGTTCTTACTTTGTAGCATGCGGTCAAAAATAGATATTTCTGGTGTGTTTGTGTGTGTGTGTGTGTGAGAGAGAGATATGGAAATACTCATGCAATGAAACTGGAGGGTAAACCCACGCATAATGCACAAACATATCTGTCTATATCCACCAAACACATATTTTTCTTAAATCAATAACCTCAAAAGCCACCATCTTTCTCTCAACAGAGAAGGGGAGAGGGAAAGAATGTATGTATATGTTTATTATTTATCCCTCTCAATATATGTCTTTAGGATTACCATCTGTATTTTATCTACATAGAGAGATTTATATAGAGAGTTCCAGAGAAGAAATGTAGATGGATAGGCAAATAAATATCCCAGTTCCTCTAGCATAATCTCATATTGTTAGGGTCTGTAAACAACTCAGGATGGCGCCTGGCATTTTGCCAGAGGGAGTGGTTTGTGAAGTAACACCAGTGAGCCATTAAGTGTGGAGATTCCTTATTCGTTGACTGCTGTATATAGTTTATGTTAATTAAGATAAGCTGTGTGGAATGTATATATACCCTTCCTGTCCTACAATAAACAGTTCCCACTCCTGCTGTATCAATCTAAACAAGTTGTTCATCACCCCCCGGTTATTTTGCTGCAACAGGACTGCGGCATCGTATAGTTTTATAATTCCTTCTATGTTTGTATATGACACATAGCATTTCTCAATACAATATAGTTTTATAAAAGTATTAATGTTTGGTTGGGTCAGTTTCAGGGGCACATGCCTGAAAACACAGCTACTTCAGAGACAGAGGCAGGAGATTCACAGGTTCAAAGCTAGCCTGGACAACTAAGCAAGACTGAAATGTCTCAAAACCAAAATGATGAGTGGTGATGTAGTGGAGTGGCAGAGCACTGGGACAACTCATTTATACTCTGAATCCAAGCCCCAGTAAAACACACACTTATGCACACACAAGTTCCTTTGGAAAAAGTCTGAAAAACAATGCCCACATTTAGCAGCTATATTATTCGAGAGGTTACACTGCTTCCCCAGCTTTTGGTTTGGTTTGTAGTTTGAAGAAAGAGAAATTAGAAATTAGCATCACCTCATATCCAAGATTAAGGCACATTGTTTTTGCCTTGCTACTTACCTAACATCAAGGATAGTATAAAAGTAAATATAAAACTTGGACAAATCCTCCTGGGTATTAAATCAGATAACAGTTTTCCAAAGAAGTAAGATTTTTCACTGTAGTATCCACTGATATACTCATGTCTACAGAAAACAAAAGAAAAAACAAAACAAAACAAAAAACAAACACCACACATCCCAGATTAGTCCAAGAAGGCACAGCCCAGATGTGATGCTGCTGCGCAGATTCCTTCTGCCACCAGGTCTGTCACTGCAGCTGCCCACAGGCTCCAGGCTGATCCCTGGTTAATGCCCTTCTCCTCCTCAGGTGCAGCCTCCCTGGGGCATCAGCCCCCCAAGGCTCTTGCTGTGAAGCTCTCATGACAGCACCCTTCCTCCTGCTACCCACTCTGGGCCACATCACCCCTCCAGGGACAGTGTGCTTCTCCTCACTCTCCTCAGAGACTCTGCTGCTCCTCTGAGGCTGGCTGTGCCTGAACAGCAGCACTTGAGGGGCTAATCTCAGCGTAACAGGGGCTTTTCTTCTCCCCATTTCTGAGTGTGAAGAAGGTGACACTATTATTCTCCAAGGCCCCAATGCAGCAGCGGATCCCTAAACTCTTTGAACTTTGGCTACTTTCATATTAAAAACAGAAAGACTTCTTCCTAGAACAGGCAGCCCTGTCAGCCCCTAAGTCCTCATCTTTTGACGTCTAACACGTGTTTCTCAGAATCCCAAACTCTTCCACTGCTGTCTTCATCTCTTCCCTCTCCCATGATTCCTTTGCCAGGCACAGAAGTATGGGAAAATCTCTTCCATCTTCGAAAAACACAAGAGACAAACCCAGTCTGCTCTCTACCTCATTGTGGTCCTCTGGCTCTTCCCACTACTCCACCTGGTGAGGTTACTCTTGGTGACATTCAGCCAGCTTTACCCCCAACACCTCTAATTCACAGCTAATTCCCCCACTTAATCTCTACCAAGCCCTTCTTTAACCTTTCACTGTGAGGGTCATCATAATGTGTTATTTGCTAAACACAAAATAAAACAAAATCTCAGCACTTTGTTGCTCCTTTCTGTGAATTATTAGAACTTACTGACCATACCCTCATCCTGAGATACCCTTTAGTCTAGATAGCAGGCCTAACCTGATATTCCTGACTGCCTTCTCTCAGTTATTATTGACAATCCCAACACATGCTTCAAAAGCTCACATTCTACATGATAAACATATACAACTTATATTTATCAATTAAACAAATAATTTTTAAAAAAAAAATAAAGAAAAGAGAAATACTGGTATTCCCCAGGATCACATCCTTGGACATATTTGTGAGATGACCAGTGTGACCAAAAGTTGTTAATGCACTCCCTGGAAACAGAGATCTACTCACTTAAAGAGTTTCTTCTCAAGCTCAAACATCTCCCCAGCTGTCACACTGCCGAAACACTGGAAGACAACCAGCACATAGAGTCCCCAGGCTCTGCCAGGACAGAACAAGAACAAAAGTACCACAGTCAAGTCAATGCTGGTAGGTCTGATTTCTACCCACAGAACTGATTCCACAATGACATAACATTAATTATATCTTTCTTTAAAAAGTGTAGAACTGTTCTGGTTGGAACTGAGAGAGAAGCATGACCCCATGAGGCCTCTCCCCTGTCACTATATCTTGCTGCACCCCTCCCCTGACTCAGGCAAGGGCAAGGCCCCACTGAGGTGGATGGCGCAAGGCGTCCATCCTCTGGAGGAGCGCATTATGTTTCTGGGAATGGGCTGGTTTGTTTTTGTATTCCTGTTAATAAGTATAGTTGCAACTTCCCATATGACCATTAAGTATGAAGGGAAAAACATGACTTTCCCAATTAATGCAACTACTTCTAAAGAATGAATCTGTTTGCTCTAAACGATTCAGCTGTGGAATGTAAATTGTTAATGTTTAATGAAAAACACCCTGTAGGAAAAACAGTCAAGGAAGTTTTTGAGAAATTAAATTAAAATCTAGAGAAGAAAAATTAATATTAAGAAGACAGATTAGTGCTTGGTACTGGACAACTTGTTCTAGTTTCTGTGCACAATGGTTTGGTACTTTTACTCTTGTTTGATTAAAATTAGTAGCCTCTCTTTTCAAGTTAATCACTTGCTATAACCGTGGCACTGGTTCCAGTCAATAAATCAAGAAAGAATAGTCAAGGTATAGGCCAATAGTCTGGGGCATTTCTAAATATTATTAAAAGCTAACTAAGCAGAAACAGCTCAAAGCAAAGCGTGAACTGAAAGTAAAAAATGCTTGCTTATGCATAAGCCAAGATACATTCTTCTTATCTGATTGTAGCAACGTAATACTTTGTTTCTTTGAATAATGATTCCTATTTTGTAACCATAAAATATTGTGACCCTGCCAAAATGAAAGGTATATATGATTAACTTCACAAGTAAAGATGAGGATTCAGCACCTTCACTCTTGTGTCTCTGTTGTTTCTCCACCCCCCTTTCGCCGACTCCTCACCATCGTCTCCTGAGACCCCCTGCCGGAGCTGGACTCTGACAATATCTCTATATTGGTATCCCTATAATTCCATATTATAGCATTGTTTGAAATCCAAGGTCTTAATTTACTCTGAACTAAATTGTGTTCACTAAAATTGATTTGAAGCAATAACCCTCAATAAGAGGGTATTAGGAAGTAGGTGACATGAGAAGGAATGAACTTAGAAGAGGTCATGAGGAGAGAGACCCCCAAATTACTGTATTTATAAGAGGAAGAAACATCCCAGCATGCTCTTTCAGGAGAAGGTGCAGAGTGAAGGCTGCCATCTGCAAGAGAGGAAGCATTCTCACAGGAGCCTGATCCTGTTGGAATGACACTCTGAGCTCAGATTTCCAGACTTTAGAACTGAGATAAAATAAACTTCTGTTTTTAAAGACACTGATTCTACAATATTTGTTATGGCAGCCTAAGCTAATTCATAAGTTATAACAATGTTATCACCTCCAATTTAAATAACAAAAATGCCAAATGTCACTTGTAATGTATAAAGGAAAGATAAATAGAGCCCCAAATGGTTAAACTATTCAATGAGCCAAGTGTTAATGAAGGGATGTTCAACTTCATTAGTGGATTAATCCATTTGATGAATTAATAACTTGAAAGGAATACGGCTGGTAACTGTAGGCAGGTGGGAAACGGCTAGAGGAAGTAGGCTACTCAGACCTTTCCTTTGGGCATTATATTTTATCTCTGGCTCGCTCTATCTATCCATCTCTCTCCCTCTCTCTTTATGCTACCTAGCTGCCATGAGATTTGCAGCTTTCCTCTGCCTTGCCATTCTGCTGTGATATTCTGCCTCATCCTTGGGCCCAAGACAATGAGCTTAGTCAACCATGGACTGAACCTCTGAAACTATGAGCCAAAATACAGTTTTCCTTATCTAAGTTATTTTTTGTGGCATATTTTGATCACAGCAATGAAAAAAATATCTGTTTATTTTGTTTAATTTGGCTCATGATTTCAGAGATTGAGTCTGTCGCCAGTTGAGTCCATAGCTCTGGACACAAGGTGAGGCAACATCATGGCAGAAGGAGTGTTGCTCACAACATGGTAGCCAGGAAGCAAAGAAAGAAGGAAAGGGGTAGAGGGAAGATGTACCCTTCTAGGGCATTCTCCCAGTAACCCAGCTCCTCCAGCAATTTCCCACCTGCCTATAGTTATCACCCAGTTAGCCCATTCAAACTAACTAGGCTACCACTCTCACAATGCAATCATTTCATCACCAAATATTGCTACGTTAATACACGAACTTTGTGGGAAACCTAATGTTTCAACCATAACACACACAACCTGGCTCACAAAAGCTCATGTCCATCTCACAATGCATAATGCATTTAGTTCATCTGCAAGAGTCCCCATTGTTGTAAAAGTTAGAGCAGTGCCCAAAAGTCATATTCCAACATCTCATTTGAGACTTAAGGCAAACTCTTAGGTGTGAGCACCTGTAATGATCAAAAGAAAATTACAGATATCCAATATAAAATGGCACAGAGTAACTATCCCCATTCCAAAATGGAGGAATAGCAGCATAGAAAGAAAGCACGGAACCAAAAAAAAGACCCAAACCGAGACAGGCGAGCAGCTCCCATAACTCCCGTTATAACATCTAAGACACTTGGCTGCGGTATGTCATCTCCAAAAGACTAGAGCAGCAGCACTGACTGGTCTTGTGAGTTGTAGCACACATGGCCGCTCTGTTAGCCTGGCTTTCTCTGTAGTCAGGAACTTTTCTCAGCAGATAGTCCACACTACTGGCATCTTTGAATTTCTGGTGTCTCGATTCTATTCATCTTTAAAGCTTCATTCATCACCCTCTCAGGGGCAGCCTTCAGGGATTCCAACCATCCTACACTTTGCCTAGTCTCACAGACCTTCCTTTGCAATCTCAGTTGAAAGCCTCTATGAACCTTTAACTAGAGCATCTTGCATTCTTGCAGAATTGGCAGTACATGAATGATGTCAAGGTCTGCTGCTAGCTTGTGCAGGAGTTGGTTCCCTGGGATCATGGCTATAGTAGCCTCTGAGTGCCTGAGTAGCTGAAAAGCGTGAAAAAACTTCCTAGGCCCAAATATGTGAGCAAGGTGCACCCACAATCTCTTCTCAAAGGAATTTTTCCTTCTATATCCTTGAACCTGCAATTGGTGTCGTCTTATGAATTCCTGAGATGCCTTCAAACTACCTTCCCTACTGTCTCTGTGTAAAGTACTTAGCATCTCCTCTTTAGTGGCTATAATGTCATCAACAACCACAGTTTTCTTGGCCTGACTTTTACACACACTTTCTAACCAAACTCCAAGTTTTTAAAAATACCCCTTCTCTCCTTTCTGCTCCTGATTCTTACAGTAAACCTGGCCAAAATCAGAATAATCCATGACACCACCTGAATGAATGATGTACAGCCACGAAATTTCCTCCACTAGATTAATTCATCCTTTACCTTTAAATTCATCCTCCCAGAAAATCTGAGGACATGGGCTAAATAAATATAGACAATTTGTTTGCCAGAAGGTAACATGAATGTCCTCTAGTCCAATTCCCAAGAGAGTCTTCATTTCCTTCTGAAAACTCTTGAGCACAGTCCTTAATGTCATGCCCTGTTTGCATTTTGGTCTTCTGAATTTCCACCATAATAGCTCATTAAGCTTTGCTTACAATATTTTAAGGCTTCTCCAGCTTGCATGTCCAAATTTTCTGAACTCCTATCACAAACCATTTCCAAAGGCTTTTCAATCATATGGGCAGGTTAGGCACAGAAAAATCCCTATTCCTGATACCAATTTTTGTGTTAGTCAGCTTTGCATTGCTGAAAACAAAATATCTGACAAGGACAACTTAGAGGAGGAAATGTTTGTTTTGACTCAGAGTGTCAGAGGTTTAGTCCATGGTTGGCAAAGTCCATTGCTCTAGACCCAAAGTGAAGCAGAACATCATGGTGTAAGTAGATGTATAGAAGCAGAACATCATGGTATGTGGTAAATGAGTGCTGTATAATTAATCATGACCAGAAGCAGAGAGAGAAAGGGAAAGGAGATTCTGGTGTAATAAACTCATCCAGGTCTTCCAGGGCACACCCTCCATTGACTGACCTCCTCTGGCCTCACCTGCCTACAGTTACCACCCATGTAATAATTCAAACTAGGATGGACTGATTAGATTACAGTTTTCATAAGTCAATCATTTCATCTCCAAATATTCATGCATTAACCCAGAAGCTTTGGGGAGTATCACATATCTAGACCATAACACTAACTTACAGTTTCAAAGTGGAGTAATGAAAGCAAGACTTGTGGAAAGAAAATGCAGACAATGGAGGGAATCCTCAGTCAGCTCATTACTAGAGACGTCAACCATACAACCATCCAAAAGCCTTTAATTATGTTTGACTAGGATTTTAAAATACATAAAAATGAAAGTGATCCTGATTAATAAGATTAATAAGAGATTAATAAGCCAGAAATGTAAAGAACTTCAACTCAACAATAACAACAACAAACAATCCAATTTTGAAATGGAGTTGTACAAAGATCCAGTGGAACTCTAATAAGATAAAGAAATACATTCTGGTGGGGATGTGGAAAAACTAGAACCCTTGTGTGCTACTGATGAGAATGTAAAATGCTGCAGCTACAGTGGAAGACAGCATGGCAATTCCTCAGAAAATTACCAAAGTTACCATATGACCCAGCCATTCCACTTCTGGATATTTACCCCAAAGATTGAAAGCAGGGACTCAAAGAAATATTTCTACACCTGTAGCTGCATTACTCATAATAGCTCATACCTACAGGCAACCCAGATTTTCATCAGTAAATAAATGGGTAAACCAAATATAATAAATAAATAACTATTTTACAGACTGAAAAGCCAAATTCTAACACATGCTACATTTTGAATGAACATTAAGTACGTAATGCTAAGAAAAATAAGTCTGTCACCAAAAGAGAAATACTATGAATTCATGTATATGAGGTTCCTAGAGTGTCCAAATTCAGAAACACAAAGTAGAATGGTGTTAGGCAGGACTTAGGATAAATACATATGGGAAGTTACTATTTTTGGGGGATTCGACTCCGGAAGATGAAAAAATGGTCTGGAGTTAGATGGTGGCAATACTTGCACAGGGTAAAAGTACTTGATGGCACTGATGATACAGAATAGAAGAGACAGAGACGAATCCACATGAATACAGTTATCTCATAGTAGACAAAGGCACCGAAAACATTCATTGGAGAAAAGATAGCCTATTCAACAAATGGTTCTGGGAAAATTGGATATCCATATGTAACAAAATGGAATTAAACCCCTATCTCTCACTCTGCTTGAAACTCAACTGAAAATGAATCAAAGACTTAGACACTAGAACAGAGACTCTGTGTCTATAGAAGAAAAAGTAGGCCCCATCTTCACCATGTCAATTTAGGATCTGACTTTCTTAACAAGACTCCTAAAGCACAAGAAGTAAAATCAGGAATCAATAAATGGGATGGATTCAAACTAAAAAGCTTCTACTCAGCAAAGGAAACAATTAAGAATGTTAAAAGAGAGCCTAGAGAATGGGAGAGAATCATTACCACCTGCACCTCGTATACAGCATTAATCTCCAAGATATATAAAAAAACTCAAAAAAATTAACATTAAAAAAACAAATAAACCAGTCAACAAAGGGGCTAAGAAACTGAGCAGACACTTCACAGAAGAAATATTATCAATCAACAAATATATGAAAAAAGTGTTCAACATCTCTAGCAATTAGAGAAATGCAAATCAAAATTACTCTAAGATTTCATCTCACTCCAGTCAGAATGTCAGTTATCAAGAATATGAGCAACAATAAATGTTGGGGGAAAAAATAGACTCACACATTGCTGGTGAGGCTGCAAATTGGTGCATCCACTCTGGAAAGCAGTATGGAGATTCCTCAGAAAACTTGGAATGGATCGAACATTTGACCCAGGTATCCTACTCCTCAGTTTATACCCAAAAAACTTAAATCAGCATAGTACAGAGATTCAGACAAATCAATGTTTATAGCAGCTCAATTCCCGATAGCTAAACCATGGAACTAACCCTAGGTGTCCTTCAATAAATGAATGGATAAATAAAATGTAGTGTATGTATACACAATGGAATATTACTCTGCTTTAAAGAAGAATGAAATGATGGTATCTGCCAATAAATGAATAGAGCTGGAGAATATCCTGCTAAATGAAGTAAGCAAATCCCCAGAAAACCAAAAACCAAATATTTTCTCTGATATGTGGATGTTAACTCACAATAAAGGAGGCAGGTGTTAGGGAAGAACAGAGTTACTTTGGATTAGGCAGAGGGGATTAAAGAGAGGGAGGGGATATTGAGTTAGGAAAGATAGTAGAATGAATCTGATATTATTATCCCATGTGCATAAATGACTACGCAATGGATGTGATTCTATATCATGTACAACCAGAAGAATGAGAAGTTATATTCCATTTATGTATGATGTATCGAAGTGCATTCTATTGTCATGTATAACTAATTAGAACAAATAAAAAAATTAAAAAAATGGTTAAAAGACTAAATCAGGGTTGTACATAGTTTACTAGGACATTCATACATACATGCATCTGTTAAAAAGAAAGCTTACTCTTCCATTTGGTTTTTAATGTACCAACTCATCCTACCCAGAATTAAACAGTAACATTTACTCTATACTTACCATAAATTCAAATTATTAAAAGATGTTCACAAGTTTGAAAAAAGTAACAGCATTTTCTCAAATAAAGATCAAAATATACTTACCTATTCTGGATTTCAGTACAATCATTTTTGAGCACCCTAAAAGTGCCACCTACAACTATTGCCAGAACGATTGTGGCAAACACCTTATCAAAAAGAAAAAGAAAAAGGAAAGAATTTTAATTAGAGGTAAAATTTTTGTACATCATTTATTATTACAAGATATGTGGCTATATAATCAAATCTCTCCACTGAGATCAACACTTTAAGTGGCTTGGTGAGAGTCCTTAAGAGAATACAAAACACTGTATGTTATTAGTATGCTTTCTAAATTAAATTGAAAATTAAGGCATCTGTTGTTTTGGGAGCTGATCAGACAACAGAGCAGATGACTCTGAAAGTTAACATTCCTTTCAGTGTCAACTGGGCACTGCCACAAAGGGTAGCAGAGTGCTGAAGTCACTTGGGGAGCAAATTTTCAGAGTTGAACTGAACTCCCAAGTTTTGTGCCAGTCAATGTGTAATTTCATATTTTAAAAGCCTAAATGATTTGCTATTTGTACCTTTACTAAAAATTCTACTTCTGTACTACATTACCCCTATTACAAACCTGAACAAGATTTTTCCTCTCATCTTAGAGAGCTACAAGGTTCTACCCTTCTTCTAGAGACTACTACTTCTCCGACAATTGCTGGAATTCCTTTTGGGGAACTGAGTTCACTGATGGGACAAAGAGTTTGAATGTGCAATCTCAAGACACTGAGCCTAACACAATCCTGGTTTATTGAAAGTAGCTCTGTTCTAATTATGCCCTGTGCACAACTACCATCTACGTGTCTTGTACAAAGCACTATAAACCACTTTGAGGGGCAAGTAGGAAAAATTAAATGCATGAATCACCTTAAAGAATCAACTCATTGCAGCTCACTGTTCCATCATGGGAAATCCAGGTTGATGCATCTAAATCACCAGATGTGTCTCCAAATGACATAACTTATTCCCTAAGAATAAAACTTTACCTTTGGTTGACAGGACACCTAATTGCCTGTGTTCCAACAGAAATGCCAATGTCACAGGGATCAAAATATTTGTAGCAATGACAGTATGATTCAAATGGGGATATAGGATCTCAGATATACTCAGAAAGTGATGACTTGTATATGAAAATTACAGTGTATATGTGAAGTAGTTAGCAGTATTTCATTAGAGGCAACAATATTCTTTCAGCACTCAGGAGAAACTCAATGACTGATAATAAAATGACTGAAAAATCACCAGTAAATTAATCCCCTTATAAATAATAGACCAAAATACTGAGAGAACTAGTGTTTCGTGTGTTACAGGGGTAAAGAATAACAACAAAAAAAAAAACTTAAGAAGGGCTGGGAAACATAACTCAGTTGGTAGTGCTTGCCTTGCATGCACAAACCCCTGAAACATCAAAAAGAAGAAGAAGAAGGAGGAGGAGGAGGAGGAGCAGGAGGAGGAGAAGAAGAAGGAGTGATAATCAACAACCACTGCAGAACCAGTGGAAAGGGCAAAAGAATACCATCTCATCTCAGTTGAGAAAGATAATGAGACAATGAGTTGCATTATTAACTCTAGTTACTACCTGTGTATAAATAGCACACTCTTTGAAATATCTATTTACAAATATCTATTTTCAAAGATTAGAATCTCTCAAAGGGAGGGTCAATTATAAGGAAGAACACTTTGCCTACAGGTTCTTCTGTCAGAAAGTGTACATCCCAGACCTCCCTCAGATGTACTAAGTGCCACCAGGTGTCCCTCATTGCCTGATTTCAACTGCAAACCAACTTTCTTCTACCAACTGCCTGCCCTCTCCCTCCCTTTCTCTATTGCTTCTCTGCTTAAATTTTCTGCATAGCCCTGCTGCCATCTGAGCTGCTGTATATTTTATTTGTCCAATTACCACCTCTCTACCCTGATAAGAAAATAAGTTCCATGAGGGCAGAGATTGTTATTTTTACTCACTTTGTTCACCACCATATTAGAGTCCCCAAAATGCAGCAAATGATCTATGTGCAAGTTGTGGAATAAATCAATATATGAAGGACGCCAACTAATAGAACACCCCAAATGTGACTGACATTGCTTTCAGTTTAATTAAAAAATTCTTTTTCTAGCTGAGCATGGTGGCTCATGCCTAGAATCTCAGCGACCTTGGTGGCTGAAGCAGCAGGATCTCAAGTTCAATGTCAGCCTCAGCAACTTAGTAAGGCCCTAAGCAACTTAGAGACCTTGTTTCAAAATAAAAAGGGTTAGGGATGTGGCTCAGTGGTTAAGCCTCCCTGGGTTCAATTCTTGATTGAACCACCAAAATCTATTTCTACTAGATTATATATTACATCTCTTCTAAACAACAAAACTTCTGATAGTGTCCTAGAAACCACTAAAAATGTTTCCATAGTAAAAACTTAATTTTTACCTATCCTATTGACTGTATCTATATCCTCAATGGAGTAGGGACAACAAATAGATGGAAGGGTGAACAGAAGATACACACAATCCTGAGGCAGACTGCATCAGAACAAAACTGCTCCCACATTAGTATTTCAAAGCACAGTCATGAGTCTGCAGGTTACCTGACGAAGAGTGACCGAACGGAAACCCAGCAAGTTTTTGAATGAACGCCAGAAAATCCATCTGAGTTGATGAAAGAAGGAGGTGACACAGGTCATCTCCCTGAAGGCCAAACTCCTGCTATTCCGACCCCCTGACAGATGCTCTAATTCAGCTTCTGTGTCTCTGTAGAAGGCCGAGTTGGCATAAAACTCAGCTAATGCTTCTATTACTGGTTTTTCTCTCTGCAAAAGCTGTTCAGTCTCCTCGGCTTTGGAATAAAAGTGGATAAAGAAGGGAAGTATTATTTACAGATTTAACAACTGATTTAAAGTGTTTTTCTGTTTCCTGTTTCTTGGTTAACACCTTAATTCTAAAGGTTGAATACTGAAAAAGTACTAGCATTGTTATCACTTTACACATTGATAAACTTGTTAATTGACCTGACTTCTGTCATTATCTTGTGGCAAACAGCAAATTCACTAACCTTTTCCTAACTGATTGGAATCTAATTCTTAAAATTACTTTTTACCATACAGAGTTCTATTTCTCAATATAAACATCTGTTCCTCGATTATTACTACATTAAAATAAGATTCTCATTTTTGAATATTATAAAAATGAGCACGTTTATTTTTAATGGAAACTCCCTTTAAAACTGACAGTAACATATAAATATTCATTAATAAATAAAGTAAAAAAACATGCACAGCACTCATGGTCAACAAAGTCTATCTGTTGATTGGTGTGACACCACCACATTAACCTGAATTCAAAAAGCCCTGTTTTAATGAGCCACCACATTTTTATTTCTTTTTTTTAGTTGTTGATGAACTTTTATTTATTTTTATGTGGTGCTGAGGATCAAACCCAGTGCCTTACACATGCTAGGTAAGTGCTCTACCACTGTGCTACCACCCCAGCCAACCATATTGTTAAACATTAACCAAACCAATCAGGCAAATATCTGTGAATCGAACAGGTACACAAACCTTCATTTTCTTCCTCTCTGTTTATAGGAGGGACGTTTCCATTGATGATGTCTAGGAAGAAGTCTGCAGAGTTTTGGTATTCCTCACCAGAGTAACCTGAGAACAAAAGCCACCTAAGAACACAACCCAATGGTCTTAGAAAATAAAGACTCACTTCCATAGGGTGAGGGAGGTGAGGCTAAGGACAAGAGAATCTAATAAATTCTCCCTCATCTTCTGGCTCTTTTCTCCCCTAATTTAACCTTTCAGAACATCTAACTTAGTTAGTCTTCTATAATAAATCATAAAATCCAAAGAGCTATCAAAATACCCTGATGCTTATCAGCACTTCATAAATCTAAAACTAAGTCCAAGAAAAAAGCATTAAATATTAAGTCCAGTGTGCTCTGTGTTTATATACCAAATTCCAAAATGGATGCATATAGCAACAATAGTTTCTCCACCACATTAATATAAAGGTCCAGATTATCATCTGTCTACCTGTCATAATTCCAAATATTCAACCAATCCCCAGAGCAGCATTCTTGAGAGAACATGACCACCATAGCACACGTGAACTCACCTCAACTCACCTTGTGCCACAGTCATCTGAATTTGGCCTGAGATCTGACTCTTAAGTTCATGTACTCTGGATTCCCCAGACACATATATGGTTGATCATTTTTAAATGACAGACATTAAATAAAAATTAAGAAATATAGCTAGTGAATACTTAAACTGTATATTAGAGATCATGGAGAAACATCTGTAATCATAACCAAATATTTCTAAAATGAAGCAGATTATGTGAGCCATTTTTTTTAATCACATAATTCAACCTGAAATACAAAGAATGAGATAGCCTAAAAACTTTGGTACTTCAAAGTCAGATTTAGAATCACTCAAATCTATTAAGGGTATAAATATGCAATATAATATTACCAGAAAATAAATTAGCATGTCCATGAGCCCTCATGAAGGCAGAGAAAGATCACATGTCCGTGGGAAAGCTAAAACCACAATCTGCTATATGGTCAAGAATATGAGCCTTTCCATAAATATTCAATTGATGGAATAACTGGCTGTTGGTTCAACCTGTTTATGATTAACTTTCAGGGAAAGAACATCACAACTGTGAAGCAAAAAAAAAAAAAAAAAAAAGACACAGGAGAAATACTCACTGCACACAGCACACACACACACACACACACACACACTCAAATATGAAAAAGAAAAAGACCTACAGAACAAGCAAGTGCTGCACAATGAAGCAAAATTTTGGTGCCCAAAATTTAGCACCAAACTAACGGAAGATGTTTTATAGTGGTGGAATCTGAGGTACATCTACACAGAGATCAAGCGGTACTTCTATCGACCCCTCTGCTCTCCCCAGGAGTCTATGAAGGAAGGATCTAGTACATGAAAAGGTCAACCACACCTGCTGATTCGAAGTACTCCAGAGCCTTCTGGGCAGGACCGTGGTACATTAGCTTTCCTGAGGCCAATAAGGTGAGGCTGTCAAACAGCTTGAAGATGGAGTAGCGAGGCTGATGAATGGTGAAGATGATTGTTCTTCCCTGCTCAGAAATGCTAAGATAAAAAGGGAAAACTATTTGTCATTAAACATCTGATTATAAATACTTTATTCCCATCATTAGACCATTTGCTTCGGGCTCAAATTAATTTTCTCTTACAAACTTTTCATCTCATTACCAATATGATAGTTGGGGAAACTAGATTCCATGTTGTTATTAAGTATGGTATGTCAGCATTCTAGAATCCACTAGAATGTTCACTGACAATGTAGATATTGAAATGTCTTCCTAGATACCGAAATCGAATTTCTAGGAGTCAGTACAGGAAGCCCATATTTTTAAAAATTCTCCAAGTAATCTGTAAGTACACTCACTTTGAAGAGCTAATAATGGACAAAATATTCAAAAAAAAGGTCCTATGCACTATTCTTTTGACCACTTAAATCTTTTATCTTTTTAGGATTGCTTTTTATTCTGCTCTGACAACACAATTAAAAAGCTTATAATATTTGTACCAAATGCTTTAAAGATAATCTCATTTAGATTTTTACACTATTGTTTGAAAGATATGGGTTAAAGTTCAAGTAAATGGCCAAGGGGTCTCTGCTACTAAGGGGAAAGGCTAGGATTTGAACTCTGGTCCTATTTCATGGTAAAAATAAATAGTGCTAAACTATCCTTTCGTAGAAGTTATTACTAAAGAGCACAGAACAAAGGCCAAAACCACTGCTCAAAATTCTTATTATATGTGACATATTTACATAATGGAATATTACTCAGCAATAAAAGAGAATAAAATCATGGCATTTGCAGGTAAATGGATGGAGTTAGAGAATATAATGCTAAGTTAGCCAATCAAAAACAAACAAACAAACAAACACCAAATGTATTCTCTGATATAAGGAGGCTGATTCATAGTGGGGTAGGGAAGGGGATCATGGAACAAATAGACAAACTCTAAATACTTAAGAGGGGTTGGAGGGGAAGGGAGGGGGCAGGAGGTTAGAAATGATGGTGGAATGTTATGACATTATTATCCAAAGTACATGTATGAAGACACTATTGGTGTGAATATACTTTATATACAACAAGGGATGTGAAAAATTGTGCTCTATATGTGTTAACAATAATTGTAATGCATTCGGCTGTCATATATAAATTAAAAAATTAATTTAAAAATTAAAAATTACTTTACAACAAGAATCACTTTAATTTATGCATTTGATCACCACCCAGTATACACTAGCAGAGTGTGTTCTGCCTCAAAGAGAATCAGGACATAAGACCAATAATCTGAATACAATGTGGAATAGGATTAACTAAGATTTCTTATGATCAAAATAGGAGACTTATAACCCAGTCTGAAGATGACATAAGTAGAATATCAAAAGGCCCAACAGGAGTGGTGAGCTAAGAAGAGAAAAGCACTCATGGTAGGAGAACAAGGTGAACAAAGTGTGAAATAAAAAGATCTCACTGGGAAAGTAGAGTAAGAAGCTCAGTGTTCAGGACTAAGTGTTTTTTGTGTGTAAGTGAATGTGAATGTGAACTGGTGTTGGACGAGGAAGATAAAGTGAGTACAGAGAGAGCAGAACAGGCCCATGCTAAACCCTCACTCAGAAACTGGAACTTTGCTCATAGGGAATCGGGAGCTGGTAAAGGACTCAGGGCATGAAGTGGGATTACCTGAGAGCCCTGATACCCAATGTGTGGTCTGAGGACCAGCAGCATCAATATGAAGACCTCCTCTTAGATACTCCTGGGAAGAAACTGGGGCTCTACCTCAGTCCTTGAGAAACAGAATCTACATATTTAACCAGACTCAGGGCATGAAAGCAGAGTGGTGCTTGGGAAGGACTTCGTAGAGCTCTCTGTATAAACAAGGATGCCTGGGCTCTACACAGTGTAAAACAAGACAGTTAACAGGTTGGCGAGTGACTCCGTAGTGAAATGCTTGCCCAGTGCTTCCATGCACAGCAATCAGGCAGTGGCATGAATATTGCTAGCAGTTTGTAGCCAGGTTTACTGCTAGAATCAGGAGCAAAAAGTAGTGAAGGAGGAGGATTTTTAAAACTTACAAGTTGGCTAAAGAAGTACATGTAAAACTGTGGCTAAAAAGGTATGGTACCATCATGAAAGAGAAGTTAAGTACTGGGCACTAAGACAACAGAAAGACACCTTGACTGCATCTCAGGAATCAGCAAAACCACACCAACTGCAGCTCAAGGATATAGAAGTGAAAACTCATTTAAATGACCTTGGGGGTGCACTTTACTTATACATGGCAGGAGGGCAAGGAAGTTATTTCACCATGCTTGGCGGCACAGGTACTTAGAAACCACTTCAGGGGGCCCAGCTATTACCTAAGCTGGTTGCAATCTTTGGCATCACCCATGCAGGGTTGTTTCTGTGTATATGCAAGATTCTAGAGTTAAGGGATTGGAAACTTCCACCAAGATTTGAAAGGAAGGCCTGGGAGGCTAGGCAAAGTGTGGCAGAGTCAGTATCTCTGTGGGAAGTCCCTGAAAGGGTGGTGTATGAAGCTGTGAGAAGGAAGTCAAAGCTACAGTGGAGACCCAGGAGATTAAGGGATGCCAGGAATGTGGAATGTCTGCCAAGGAAAGCTGCTAACTGTAGGCAGAGCCAGAGGAAAAGAGAGGCCAAATAGGCCACAACAACAAGGCAATAGGGGTGGGGCTCTGCCCAAGACCTTTGGAGTTAACAATTCACCATCATCTGCCCAGATGTTGGACATGAACCTACAGGAAATGTTTGCCCACCTAGGTTAAGGTCTTATTTGGGTTCTGTTCCTTCTTTATATGCCTCTATTCCTCCTGTTTAGAATGGGGATATTTAATCTGTGCCATCATATATTGGATGTATGTAACTTGCTTTTGATATTGTCACCAGGGCTCACAGTCAAAAGTTGGCCTTGAGTCTCCCTGAAAACTTTGGACTTGGACTTTGGAGTAATTCTGGAACTATTAAGACTATAGGGACTCTGGAGATGGATTGAATGCATTTTGCATTGTGACATAAACATGAGCTGTTATGGCTTCAATATAAGGTGTCTCAAAAGCTTCAATTTAACACAAAAATATTTAGAAGTGAAATAATTTGATTAGGAGAGCTTTAATTTAACCAATCCATCCTAGTTTGGATGGGCTAACTGGGGTGTAATTGTAGGCAGGTGGGGTGTGGCTGGAGGAGGTAGGTCACTAGTGGTGTGATTAGGAAGGGTTTGTCTTCCCTACAGCCCCTTCCATTTTCTTTCTGCTTCAAGCCACCATGAAATAAGGGGCTTCTCCTTCCATGTCCTTCGTCCTGGTGTTCTGCTTCATCTCTATCCAAAGCAATGACATCAGTTGAATATGGACTGAACCTCTGAAATGGTGAGCCCCCAAAACCTTTTTCTGCTCTAAGTTGATTTTTTTGGGTATTTTGGCCACAATTATGTAAACCTGACTAGCACAGAACTCATGTGGTTTTGAATATATATACTTGGACAGAAACAGCATTACTTACAGATCTATGTTTATATATGATTTTTGTTGGGAATGTAAACATATGAGCTAGGGTTTAGCTCACTAGTAAAGCTGGTACTTAGCATGTGCAAAACCATTGGTTTGGATCCCCAGTGTGTGTGTGTGTGTGTGTGTGCATGCGTGTGCGCGCGCACACACACACACACATCACACATATGTATTTCCTTGTTCTGTCTACTAAGGATATAGAAATAATGCCACTCTGGTAGCAGGGAGCACACTAAGAAACCAAATATTAGCTTCTAACCAAAGTACATGTACAGAGAAACAAATTGGTGTTTATATACAACCAGAGATATGAAAAATTGTGCTGTATTTGCTTAATAAAATTGTAATGCATTTCATTGTCATTTTAAAAAATCAATTAAAAAAAGAAATAAAAAGGAACTATACCAGATGTAACCAGGACCTCTGGAATAAATAGCTCTGGCCAGAAAAATACATGATAAACCTTGAATATTATAGCGATCAAGAAGTAAAAATTTCTAGAAGAAGGGGAATATTAAAAAATTCAAATATAAAAACACAAAAGCCACATTGAAGTGGATTCCACTGGCCAAATCTGAAATAATTTGATCATTAAAACAGTGAAAAACAGATTAACCCATTATGTCAAACAGAAAATGAATAAGGAAGGAGAGAAATTTCTTCCTTCCACACAATGTCAACTATTGCATGTTGGGAAACTGTCACAAGAGCAGGCATTATTGGTGTATGCTAAAAATGGTGGGAAGAGATTTGGTAATGAACAGAACATAGACATAATAGCCAAATATCTTCCCTAACAAAATAGTAATCAATTACAATAGAGATGAATAGTAATTTCCCAGCAGAGAAGCCCAGCATATCCCAAGATGACAGAGATCCATACCACCTGAGGTATATGCATAACCCTGGCTGTATTGTTCAGAGAACAGCGGTTTCATGTTGAAATCAGCTCATGGAAGACAGGCATAGTCCCAGC